AGCTACCTCCTGTAGCCAACAACCCAGCCAATGGTAAAATGAAGAATTTGTATGTTATACTTCTTTGAGAAAGGAAAAAAAAAGATCCTAATATGGAACATAAGAATGTGGCAAAAGATGGATCTGCCAAGGATCATGTGCATCATATAATGAATTCCTCAGGATTGCGAGGAGAATGGCTACTGAAAGATAAAAACAAAGGAAAGAAAGATGGAGCAAGTACAAGGAAAACAGCTACAGTTTCAAAGGGTACATAATTCTTCAAATACACCAGAACAATCTTCTTATTTTTGTAGACCTTTTTACCCTCCAACCCAGCAAGTATCCTTTCTGGGTATACCTGTAAGAATAGGGTACATGCACTTTGATTGCCAGAAATTCCTTTCTATGCATTCTTAGTTCTATACTTCTTCCATTCTTTCTAATACATTTTCCCTTTACTACTATAGATTTTTTTTTCGCAGTATAAAACTATTAATCGAAAGAAAAACAACAATCTGAGGGATAATCATCCACCTAAAGAAATAAAAACAAACAAAAAGCTACACTAATACAAAATAGGACACCAATCTTTTTCCAGAATAGGCAGAAAAAAATCCTTCAAAATAAACAAAGCTTTAGCCCAAGGAAAAAGTGAAAAATGCCATCATCTCTTAAACACCATCAAACAGTTACGATATTTTCTTAAATAACATTACTTTCTGAGCAAAACACCCATAACTCAGCAAAAAATAGGCCATCTTCTAACCAGCTAAATGACCCTTTGTCCGTAAAACCATATAAATCATTGGTGAAGAAAATCTCCAAGTACAAGACACCTAAGAAACACCAAAGGGAAAATAACCTGGTCTTAGTCCGCCAAGTTATCCCAAAGTAAAGAAACAAACAACTACTATATACCAAGCAATGACAGCACATAAGGCCCACATCCAGAGGAAGTGTCGTTTTGAAGTCAGGGGACCTAAAGCAAGTGGTTAATGTTAATCATCTTTACCACTAGTCCACAAAAGTGCATTTAATGTGGTGACAGATAAGAAACTTAGAGAACAATTTGCAGTGGAGGGGAATCATAGATAAATCACCACATGCATGCTAATACAAACATATCAAAGAGAACGAAGATAAAAAAAATGAGGGCTAAAATGGATGAGAATAAGAAATAAATGAACCTATTAAGAAATAAATGAACCTATTCAGGCAAGCAATCAAGTTCAAGTACAAATGGGGTATATATAACTAACCGTGCCATTCCAATCAGCTCGATAGACCTCCCCATATGAACCTATTGAGAAGACAACATAAATATCAAAAGATCACAGGATTTCAAGAAAATTTCAGCACATTGCGCTGCTAAATTCAAATATCACAATTGACTAAGTAAATGTCAAGTTGGAAGAAAGAATAACACGTTCTGACTCTTGCATGAAATAAAAAATAAAAGAATGAGTTAACTGTGTTAAAAACTAATTCACAGAAAAAGATCAGATAGATCATTACCTAGTCCAATTCTTTCGCCAAGAACCAGGTCTTCCCATGGAATTTCACTTTCACCTACATCTACATCGTCAAAGATTTGATTATCAACCCTGCTTGTGCTAGAATCAATTGATGAGCTGGGACTTTCTGGATCCTTCAATTTCAGACCGGTTCCCATAAATCTGTCATGGAGGGACTTTTTGTAATCATGAAAACCTACTTCACTGTTTTCATGTTCGTTTACTGTGTTTATTGCATTATTTTGCAAATCTTGCCCATCCTTTGAATTTTCTTTTTTAAACTTAGTGCTTGCATCCTCAGTCGAAGGTACGTTGCTGGAGTTATTTGTACTAGAAGCCAACAGTGTACCAACACCACCAAGTGACATCCTGGCGTCATTATCCTTGCAGGAGGGATTTGAATTGCCAGATGTCTTGAAACCATGTCGATAGACCTCTTCAGATGGATTGATCTTTGTAGAAACTGATGGCAGGATATTATTTTTATTAGGTTCACGATTCAGTTTTGGAAAGAGACCCTCCATATAATTAGATTCCTTCTTTTTAGGCACCTCATTACAAGTATAATTTTTCCACATCATTGGTACAGGAGGTTGACCAGAAACAAAGTTATTTCTCTGCATTTGAAAGTCATCGACTTTACTCTCCCCAATTTTGTTGGGAATGGATATTTTGCCAGTTCCCTTTACCTGAAATGGATTAAGATCTGCAAAAAGGTTTTTAGATTCTTCCTGACTATTTTGGCCATATGGAACAACATTAACATTCATCCTCGAACCATCACCAGTTACATTGGTTCCTCTAGTCCCTTTGTAGAGAGGGTTTCCAGTTCCTGATGATGCAGTAGCCTCATTCACTCTGCTAGCTGTTCCAGAAGAACCAACACCAGCATCAACAACTGAACCAGGGTGTGAAAGCCTGGAACCTGCTATTTCAGCATTCGAACCTCTATCCATGCGAGAATAACTATCCATTGCAAAGTTCTGACTGCTGCCTTCTCCATGTACTGGCCTTGGCCTTGAGGAATCAAGGTCATCAGAGGAATTTAGTGCTTGGACCTTAGCCGAGTTTGAATTATCTGCCTTAAGGGCAGTATCCCTCAAACTTGGAACATCAGCAGGTATAAGTGTCCCCGGAGCTGCCATAAGATCAATCAAAAACTCTCTGCATGCAGGAAAATATATATTAGATGTGCACAGAAGTAAAACTTAGTTCAAATAACAGGCAGAGTTTATAACCTTTCATCCTCAAGCTTTATTATATTTACGGCATCATCCTCGCTGCCAGTGTAATGACTACCTTTTACCAGCCTACAAGGGAAGCTTATATTGTCAGCCAATACCTGCAAGAAGAGAAACAAAGAAAATATTTCAAACAAACTTCAAAAATAAGTTAGAGAGTCAAGGTCGAAAACATGCTTATGCAAATTAATTTCGAAAAAAGATGTCTCTATTCCCAATAACTTTGCACCAGAATAAGTTTAAAAAAAAAGAGATTGATTTACTATCTATGTATACATTTCTTTCATAACCATTCCCCTGAGAACTGATACGCCTTGAGAAAAAAATCAAAGCTCAACTTGGCATGGTTCAATAGGAATGGATTTGTAAGTCAATGAATTCAAGTAAGAGAGAGATTATTTAAAATTCCAATGGAAGATCATCTGACACAGTACTGTAGCACATAACAATTTCTCAACATAAATTCAAATGGGAAGAACAACAGCTACATAAATATGTATACACTTGTTCACATATCCTAGTAGGCATTTCCAACAAACAAACTATACCCATAAAATAGTTCAACAGCTGACCTTGAAAAGCAAAGCACGGTGCCGTGACAAGCCTATTTTTATGGATCCAATAGGAAACACACTGGTGTGGAGGGATGTCTTCAACTCTGTGCTTTTCTCCATCCACCTGGCTAACATTATATTGGCATCCTTTACCGGCCCACCCATGTGCCCAGTAACGAGTTCAGCAAGCCTCTGAACTAAAATACCAACATTTGTAGGAGGGCAGTCTAGTGCAATGCATTGTGCAACTTGAACTAATTCTTCCAGACCCGTATCAATTGTTCGATTAACTACTACAGCCTCAAATCCCGAACTGCCACAGTTAGTTTCAAGATCGGTTACAGATGGCATTTTACGTTGGGCTTTTGAATCTGCAGATAGTCCATATACATCAGAGAAACCATCAACCACCTTCTCCTCATAGTCAAGCACGCCAAATTCCTAGCATACCCCCAAAAAAAAGACACGATCAATCAAAACAAATAGAAGCAAAACTGGAGCATGATTAAGATAGCAGTAAGATAAGATATAAAGGAAACAACATAAATGTTTATACTTAAATAT